AAAAAAAAAAGAATCACAGTCATAATACAAGTATATGGCAAACATGGAACAGAAGAATGCGCATCCTTATTCTTCCCTTATTTCTTTTTGTTCCAACAAAATGTTTAAATGTTCTTCAAGAATTCTTTACCTGAAATCACACCGACTCAGAATTACTTTTCGTTTTTTTTTTTTTTTTTTTTAATGTATTTCTCATTCCCAATTTTTTTGTTGTCTTCTCTTTCCTTTCCCCTTTCCTCTTCCCACTTTTACACCTGCGCTTCCCAGGTGCCATAGAACCCCATAGAGACGGTGAAACCCTGACAAGATACACACACACACACAAAGGGATAAAAAAAAAAAAAATAGTTTGAGCATCCCCACCCCATCTGGGCACCTCTGCAGTGATGGCCACACTTCGATTCATTTTTTCACTACTAGCTTGTCGATTATTATAATCACACACACACTTTCTCTCTTTCTATTATTTTTTTATTCTTTTTTTTTTTTTTTTCGATTGCTTTATCGATTCTTTCTATCATCTCACTGCTCGCGCTCTTTTACAGCGATTATAAGAGGTCGAAGATCCTCTTTCTTCTGTCCACGTGGATAAATACCACAGGAGAGACCAAAGTAAACATGAACACAAAAAACAGGACGGTATATGCAGAGAATTATGAGGAATTCCCGTCCCCTTTTGCAAATTCTTACTGCCTAGTCTAAGGCCAACAGAGAGAAATGTAAAAAAAAAAAAAAAAAACGTATTGATATCTTATCTTTATATATAATTTCTTTTTCTTTCTGTATTCTACGAAAAATTCTTCATGACACTTAAAATAAATAAATAAAAAAAACACACAAACACACACTAAAAGAAATGAATTATTCCCTCCTTGCGACTCTGTCTCCATTCCCCAACCCCATTCCCGCAAAGCCGGCAATGCCACCGTCGGGGTGCGGGGCGGAACGTCGTCGTCCGTGTTGGACCACCGCTCCCGCCCCACGAGGCGCATCTTCACTGAAGCAGAGAAATCGGCTGTGTGTGTTCCCCTCGAACTTCTCCCGCACCTCACGATCGCGCTGCACCGCTGCGTCTGTTGGCCTGAGTCGTAACAACTCTTCGGTGTTCCGCTCGCGCGTCATGCGTGGGGCAGGCGCGCTGGGCATGTCTGTGTTCCAAGAAAAGATGTTAAGACCCCCACGAGAGAGACGCTCCTGTCGCAGAGACTGATGCGGCGTTTGTTGTTGTTGTTGTTGTTGTGGTGGTTGTTGTTGTTGGTACTGTTGTTGCTCATATTGCTTGTTGTCCAATTGATATTGGTGATAATCATCTTGGGTGGGGTAGGCACCATAGTTGTTCCCATTCATGATCATGTCTCCGTTACC